TTGAATGTCATCTTCTCCCTTCCCTCACCTCCCTTTCCCTTCACTATTGTTATCCAAATATAGTGTTAGCGTTGAAATATATCCTATCAAATAACACATGTAAATGTCCCACATTGATAAAAGAAAAGAGGGTTAAACACTTTATAATACTAAGAGGCGAAATCACCTATTGTCTTATGGTTTTAGGATAGAAACTCCCTTGGTTTGTGAAGTGGATTCTTTAAACATTTTTAAGTATTCTCTTCTTTTTTTTTTCCTCAGCTTCCTTGTTCTTTTTTTCTTTTTTCTCTTTTTTTCCTTTACTAATATTGAACCAAACAAAGCAAGTTTGAAAATATAACTTTCTTTGTATATATGTATATGTATGACTATATGTGTGTGTGTGAATATAATGAACACATTGCTAATGAGCTATGTAAATTTGTGTGTAATCTTAACTTCTTTTGTGTATGTGAGAAACAAGTCATGAGATGCACTATGCGTAGGGGTGGGACTTCGGTCTGGCAGTTCAGTTTGACCTCAGTTTGAAACGGTTTTGGTTTGAAACGGTTCGGGTTAAAACGGTTTCATTTAAACGGCGGGTCGGTTCAGTTCGGTTTTGATTAGTCACAGGTCGGTTCGGTTTCGGTTTATTTTTGTACGATTTAAATTCGGTTCGGGTCATAAACGGTTCGGTTTATAAACAGTTCGGGTCATAATCAGATCGGTTAGAAACGGGTTGCTTCAGGGGCGGATTTACTCGGGTCAATGCCGGTTCGGTTTTTAAACGGTTCGGTTAATAATCGGGTCGGTTTGAAACAGGTTGGTTCAGGGGCGGGTTTACCCGGGTCAATGCCCGTTCGGTTTATAAACGGTTTGGGTCATGATCTGACCGGTTTGAAACGGATCGGTTCAGGGGCGGTTTTACCGGGTCAACGTCGGTCCGGGTTCATATCGGTTCGGGTCATGAACGGATTATTTTAAAAATGGGTCGGTTCAGGGGCGGGTTTACCCGGGTTAATGCTAGTTCGATTCATATCGGTTCGGTTTATACTCGGTTTGGTGCTAAAATCGTTCGGGTTAGTTTGGTAATCGGTTAAATTGGATCGGGTTGAAATCGAGTTCTAAAAAGTGGTTTTGACCAGTTAGCGCGTTTTGTTTTATATCAAGTTGGGACTAGTATTTCCATTTCATTAGCGGGTCGGCATAGGTTGGTGAAAAAAATAATGGATCGAGTAGAAATTGGGTTTTAAGAGATTTTTGACCGGTTAGCTATTTTCGTTTTATATAAAGTTGGGACTTCGTCACTTTATTTTCAGACATCGGATTATATACAATTACACAAATCTTCATTTATTCAATTATTCTATATCATGTTAATATGTTATGTTTCAAGTTTGGTTATACTCTTGTTGTTGTTTATTCGATATTATCATATTAGTCTATTACAAATTTATAATGTATTAATGTATTATTGTTTCATTATTAAATATATATTATTAGGTTATCAGCTTCTTGTTGGATTGTTTTAGATATCGTGTCATGACCATGTTTTGATGAGTTGCTACTTTGAATACGATAAATCGATTCAGATATCAGATTATATAGAATTACAGAAATTCTCATTCATTCTATATCATGTTAATGTGTTATGTTTCAAATCTGGTTATAGTCTTGTTGTTGTTTATTAAATATTAGTCTATTACAAATTTATAAGGTATTAATGTATTATTGTTTCATTATCAAATATTATCAGGCTATCAGCTTCTTGTTTTAAAGATCGCGTCATAACCATGATTTGATGAATTGGTACTTTGAATACGATAAATCGATAATTGATATTGTAATAAACTAATAAATTTAATGTTACGGAACTATATTTGGATGTTTAATTAAAATCACGATTATTCAATTTCCCATTAGTCTAATAAAGTAATAATTGACAATTATTTGTAACTATTCCATAATTTTGGTGTTAAAGTTATATTGCTGAATTACTTTGTTGTCTTACCCTCTCTAATCACCTTTTAAGATTACGTGCCTACAAGGCTGCAACATATATATGTTGCAACTTGCAAGTTAAAGAAAACGGGTGGGGAAGTAGAAGTATTCAATTAGATCGATCATCAACTGTTTTAAGTTTTAATAATCAGATACATTTATCGATTATCTATACATACCAATGATAGTATGATACCAATCGTACCATACATTATTATTTATTACATATACTGATATACATATAACTAATATACATTAAATATGTCATATTGAATCAATTCCAATTTCCAAACATTTGTGTTTCTTACAATTTATAAGTTACATAAAGTTAAGAGTACAGTAGTGTTTTTATTAGTACGTAGCTATGAATAAAAAAAACATATTATCCAAATCCATTATCCCATGATCCGTGTCACCGTCTTATATTAAATATCAGCCATTGATTTTCATGTCATCTAACGACCTATCATCGCACACATTCCAATTCACGATCCGTGTGTTTTCTTTTCCACCAATCAGATCACTCTTACCATCGTCTCTTTAGTACTCTTTTTGATTTCTCTCTCGTTTTCTTAATCCTCTTCTGCAATATTATCAATTTTTTGAAGCCATGGCTGCTAATATGCTCACTGCTCTCTCGTTTTCTCTCTCATCTCCTCTTCCTTCTTCCTTTCTTCTTCTTCCTTCTTCTCCCTTCTTCCGTCTATGTTCTCCTTTCTTCCATCTTGTTTCTCCGTCTCCGTCCACCGGCACCACGCACGACGGTTTTATGGTCAAATTCGACCACGAAACTCTAGATCTAGTTGTTTCATGATCGAATTTGGCCTTTTAAAACCAAATTCGAGGCCAAATTCAGGATTAATATATAAGGTGTTTTCGTTCTTCCTTTTTTTATTTTCTGTTTTTCTTTTTAATTTTTTTTCAAGTTGTGGGCAACGGAGGGGGCCGAGTTAGGGTGGGTGCGGCGGCGGTTAGACTGGGTTCGGGTGGGTGGGGAGGGAGGATTTTTCGAGGGAGGGAGGGAGTTTTATGGTGGGTGAGCAATTAGAGTGAGTTGGGGGGTTTCGAGGATGTTGGGTTTCGTGGGGGTGGGTGGGGTGGGGTTACGGTGGGTTTGGGTTTTTTTTCGATTTTTTTGTATGGGGTGGGGTGGGGTGTGTTACGGTGACGGTGGTGGGTGTGGTTGGGGTTGGGTCTGTTTTTTTTTTTTTTTTTTTTTTTTTTTTTTTTTTACAGTGACGGTGGTGGGTGGGGTGGGGTGGGGTTTGTTAAGGGGGTGGGGTGGAGTACGTTACGGTGATGGTGGTAGGTGGGGTGGGGTATGGGTCTGGGTTTTTATTATTTATGGTGACGGTGGTGGATGGGGTGGGGTAAGGTTTGGGTCTGGGTTTTTTTTATTTATGGTGGGTGGTGGGGTGGGGTGGGGTGGGTTACGGTAATTATGGTGGGTGCGGGGGTGGTGTTAGGGTGGGTCTGGGTTGACGTTGGTGGGGTGGGGGTGGGTTACGGTAACGGTGGTGGGGTGGGGGTGGGTTACGGTAACGGTGGTGGGTGGGGGGTAGTGTTAGGGTGGGTCTGGGGTGACGGCGGGGGTGGTGTTAGGGTGGGTTACGGTGGTGGGTGGGTGGAGGGTGGTTGGATTGGGTGGGTGGCCAAATTTTTTCATTTTTTTATTTAATTTATAACTCCTAATTTAGTTATACAAGAATATAATTTTAATTTTATCATAGCAAAAAAATTTACAAATTTAAATCAATAATTATATGTAAAAAAAATTGTACTGTTAAATTACATTAAACATCAAATATATTTCGTGGAATTCTAACAAATTGTTAAAGGCTGTAAATAGTTCAATTTGAATGGAACGGGTTGTAAACGGTTCGGTTTAAATAGTTTGTAATCGGATCGGTTTAAACGGGTTGCGGTTTGAAAATAGTTCGGTTTAAACGGTTTAATGGGTTATAACAGTTTGGTTTAAACGGTTAGCGGGTTGTAAATGGTTCGATTTAAACGGTTTTTTCCTACGGTTTAAACGGTTTCGGTTTATAAACGGTTCGGTTTAATTAGTTAGCGGGTTAACATTAATCGGTTCAAACGGTTTCGGTTTATAAACGGTTTGGTTTGTTATTGGTTTACGGTTCGTAACGGGTTAACATTAATTGGTTCGGTTCGGTTTCGGTTTGACATTATACGGTTCAGTTCGGTTTTCGGTTTAAAATTAGCGGGTTATAAACGGTTCGGTCCGTGATGGTTCGGTTCGATAACGGACGGTTTTACGGTTCGGTTTGAAAAGTCTCACCCCTAATTATGCGTGTACATATCTCTAACAATAATTTTGGTCCAACAAAATAATCCACAAGAAATTGACACCTAAAAAAGGGGAAACACCCCTTATCAAAGAATATGAGGTTGAACCTAAATCAAAATCAATCTGATGAAAGACTATGAATAAATGATGGAAATGTCAATTCACATAAATAGGCATTCTAAAATCAAAGCGAGAAGATGGTGGTAGTACTATAATATATGACCACACAATCACACATCTACTACGTATAATTTTTATGGTCCATTGACCATTGGTTCTTTAACACTAAAAGTCTCAAATGCATGAAATTTAAATGGATGCATATAAAATATAAAATATGGTTTTATCAAACTAACCAACTATATTATAGCACTGTTATAAGGACATTGCATTAATTTTGTCATTTATTTTTACAATCGGCTTTCATTCACGAAACATTTCCTCCTCAACTAAACAGTTGAATATTGGCACAAGACATAGGGTAAAACCGTAAAAATAATAGATTAAATTGAAATTACATGTTTAGAGAACTTGACAACAAATTACAGGTCAGTACTCCGATATTAAAAAATATTTATCATCAATTTAATCTATTACTTGCGAAGTTGCATATTTTTTATATTGTATGTTAGTTCACCCCTTTTTTAAACCTTATTGACATGATTTTGACTATACTTATATTCACCTATAATTATTACTCCATAATTTTTAATTGGTGCCTATGTAATGACTATAACTTCTCAATCAATCTCAATTATTAGTATTAATCTCTGAAGGTATAGTAATAACATCTAAATCTAGTACTCCGTAATTTTCATTTTTCAACTAAGTTTAATAACTACGGAAAGATAATTGATCCTAAGCTACATATAAACCAAATTACTAGCCTTTGTGAAAAGACTTAACCACACCTCCAAGCCAACAACATATAATCATTCTAAATTTAGTGCATCTTCTTTGCCTTTACCTTTTGTCCAAGTCTCTTTACCAAATCCAACCTCATGGATTTGCAAAACTCCTCTTCTAGAGCTTTCACCCTCATAATTATCTACCTTTCCTATTTCTTAATCCCCTCAAACAATCATCACATTAACAATCCTTACTTAACCATTTATTCCCATCAAATTATCCTTAATAAAACTATAATTAGCCAACTAGTTAAGCCCAAAATCACATATTTTCTAGTACAACATGCCAAATAACCATAATAGTGCCATCTTCCAAGCCCCATGCCCAAAACATGCATTCATCTACAACAAAACTTTGTGTTCATGTTCACCAGGCTATCTTTACAACGTTTCTACTAAATCATGCCCTTTCTTTAACATTTCGCCTTTAGAGTGGTGGACGAGTTCCTCAGTAAAGCACACCAAAGTCGACGATGGTTATCAAAATGCGATCAAATATGAAGTATATTATCTTTGGTGTAGCGTTGTTGTATTGTTGATGTGGGTGTTACTATGTGCAATCGTGAGGTTTGGGAAGCTTAAGGATGGAAGAAACGCTTGGTTTCAGATTCGCTGGTGGATTAGTCGCCTCGATTTTACGTTTTCTACAAAACATTGGCTTGTAAGTTTTCTCCTAGCTTTCCTTTTTTCACTTCACTTTTTCTCTTTGCTTTGGTCCCCTTGTGCTTTCCTTTGTGCTTTATACCATATATTGGGGTACAAGTTTATTAGACATAATATATGACACTATATATTGTCTTTTGGCTTTGTTAAATCTAATACTTGTACATCACTAATACAGTATATAGTACTAGTATTAATTAACATGTTTTTGAATTGTACTCCGTAATTGAGAGTTGGTTTATAATTTAGCTTGTTGAGATCATTTTATAAGGTCACACTGCCATATATGTGTAATGGAAATTTTAAAATAGAAATAAAAATAATTTTCTTAAAATTTATTGACTGTACTAAATTAGTGAGGCAACTCGTATGTAGCTATGTCATTTCTCATTCATGATCAAGAAATATTTGCTCACTGCGTGCAGGCTGATCAAAAGGTAGTTAAGAAGCGGAAATCTGAACTAGGAGGAACATTCACAATAGCTAGTTGGATACTTTTCATTGGTTTGCTTGCTGGGTGAGTATATCTACTCGTTTTCTAATGCATCATACATCACAATATCTCACATCAGTGCATACTATACTCCCTCAGTCCCAAAATAATAGCAACATACTAATCGAATTGCATTTTTCTGAAGACTACTGTACCAGATCATAACTACGCTTGGATTAGAAGTATATACCATGAAGGCAGCAAATGCACCAGATTTAGTATCTTTTATTAATGATTTAGAGTTGAACATAACTACCATTTCTAGCATGACTTGCTCTCAGTTTCGTGGTCCGAGCACCATAGTTCTTGGCACCCCAGGCTCCATAGGCTATAGCATAATCCCTTTCTCAAACTTTGCAAACTATTCTTCCCAAAACTCCAGTATAGGTCCTGTGGTGACTCTCAGATGCCGGAACTGCCCACTCGCTTATGAGAATGTGTACGTTTCATGGCAATTTTTCGATATAAAAAACAAGTTTCCTGCCACAGCTGTTGGCTTCCAGTTCAATTTCTCTGCAAAGAGTCATGTTGATGAGCACAAATATGCAAATTTTGTCAGTGGAAGAATAAAGAATGGGATGAAATCAGACAATACAAGCATAACTTACAGAGGAGCTAACACACATGTATTGAAGTTTAATCTGTTTCCAAGGGTTCATCTTAATGTAAATGGTCTTAAGCTTCTTCAGCCCTCATTTCATGAGTTTCGGCCTGGCTCTTCTGCTCGCGATAAAGACAAGCTCCGGTCATTACTACACAGTCCAAAGAATGGACTAATCAACACTACATTGGCACTCCGTTTTCTGACTGAATATATGATTGAGATTGATGATGGAAAAAGATATACTGGACTAGGTAACCTTCTTTATGATCATGATTTCTGGAAAATCTTAGTCCTGTTAATTTTGAGTAACTGCAATTAGCCAAAAAAATACTCGAATTATGGCCTTTGCTCACTTTGAATTCTGTTAGACATCTCTCATTTCTTGTGCTGTCTGAAAATTACAGTGAGTTTTCTTGCGGATGTTGGTGGTCTATATTGCCTCAGTATTACACTATTTCTTTTGCTCTTGACTCTGGTACAGTTCCTCCCTCTCTTAGTGATATACTCGTATTCTCTTGCCATCAATAAATCCATGTGACAATATCTGTGCCAATCTACATACATGACTTGTCAATCTTTGGTGTACTCAGTTTGAATCCCGGATCAAACGAATACGCAATGAAGATCAGGTTATGCAAAACATCAAAAAACGAAGAATTGCTGAGGATCACTGGCATAAGGTACACTCATGTCGTGCTCATGACTGTCGTACATAGAGCTTTTCTTCAGCATATGTCAAAATTGTTATCATCCTGCTTTATCCTGAAGATCAATGTAGACTGACTCTTAAACACCTGCACTGATCAGTTACGAAGATTCGTGGCATATACGTTTGGTTCTCGCTTGTTAGATGAAAGATACAACATGAAAGAGGAGCCAACATGCTGCATTGGAGGAAATGGATTATCTATAAGTAAATTCAGACAGCGTGAGATTAATATTCAGTCTTTCGGCCTCATAAGACAACCTCAGCCCAGCTGATGCACAGGTTTGTGCTGTATTCCTAAATAATCCGCCACATTTTACTAGCAAAATTCTTATTCTTCCACAATGTGCTCAGGTTCTTAGAGATGCATCCAGAATCACTAAAGGAGTACAAACCATCAACTCCTCGAAACCATCAGACATCTTTATAAAGGAGTCATCTATGCTTAAAGAACATTATATAGCACCGCCACCATTTTTACAAGGTAAGCTTACTTCAGGTCTAGAAACTGAAGCTGTTATTTAGTTTGAAATAAGTCCAAATAAGTTGAATCAAACAAGGCCTTGATCTCGGTTTTAATTGGAAGACCCTCGATTGTCATGGTGATTTGATCCGTTTCTTTTCTTTTTATGCAGCAGAAATTAATGGTGACTCGCCAGCTGATGTACAAGTTCTACGAAGAGAGCTTCGAAATCTATACGAATACAATGCAATGCTGAGGGACAAGTTAGTTAGTGTTCAGATTAAGCTAGATGATTTGACAGCACACATTTCATTTGCAAGAGAGGCTTGAAATCGGAATGCTTGTTGCTAAAGAATGCATATTGATGGCCACATAGTTCGTTCATTAATAATTCATCAATGATATTAATATCTTAATTTAGAATGACTTAGCCACAGATGAAAATAATAAGTCAAATCAAACACTAATTACAACCAAGAACACATAATACATGTATGAGTCAATCAGGTTTACGGTTTATCTTAATTACAACAATTATCAGTAAAGTGGAAAAATATAATTACCCAACGTCCAAATGTAGCATTCAAATAATCTACAATGGATAGCGAGGGGAACAAATTAGTTTAGGATTTCACATTTCTAAACAATGCCAATTTATCATTAGCACCATTTTTAGGCCTAATCAAAGTGAACCCAAAATTAATTTAATATTAAAACATCAAAGGAAAACAAAGCGTTTTAAAATAGAAAAAAGCAAGAAAAGAACTCAGTCCCTTAGATGTTCAATGAAGTGCGATCATTTCCGCAAAATCATTACAGGTCTGTATTGACTCATCACCGTTACATTTCTTGCCAATTAAAAACCCAACAAATAAAAATTAAAGGGTAGATTATGAATTTAGCTGCTTTCAATAATCTTAATCGCTGAAAAAAACGAAGAAGAAAGTAAGAGAAAACAACACGAATTAATGTTGCTTCAAGGGAACGAGTCAATGGGAATTCATATTCTCCACATCAACCAACAAATGAAGCCTTCTTTCAATTTAACCAAAAAATAGAGAAAATTTGAAAAAATGAAAAAATTATACCGAAGTATTACGCTGGAAATCTGAAATTTACAGGAAAAGAAAAAAAACAAGGATAGAGAATAGTATAAACCCTAGCTGTATTGACAGACCTGGAAAAGCGACGGATGAATGGATGATTTGACGAAGAAATGGAGAGGTATTTATAAGGTGGGAGACGGCCGGAAGAGGTTGGAAATTAGGGCCTTTAGGGGTTCTGATTTTTTTAGGTTAAGTTCTTCGCTCCAAGGCCTCTAATCTCTAATCTCTGGGCCATATCCGGTCGTGCCTCGTGTATTTTTGGGTTGGTTAAGCTCAATCATGGCTCAGCCCATGAGTTTTGAATTTTTAAAAGATTAGCTGGTGCACGACCTAGACCCTCGAGTTGGACCGTGCCGTATTTGCATGTCTAAGCCAAATTTTCTTAATTTTAGCGTGCTTTGTCATGCCGTTCTTTATCGTGCTTTCCCAAATAAAGGCGGCTTAAGCCCGACAAGCAAAAAAACGTGTCATACTGTGCAGTGCATGCCCATGCCATGCTTTTTTCATGTTGGATCATGCCAAGCCTTGGCCCTGTGCCATCTTTACTCCAAGGCCTCTAACTATCCAATTAGTTTTACACTTTAATTTTGGTCTTTTTTTTTTTAATATTACGGAGTATTATTTTTGCAAAAAACTTACAAGTACTTATACTTCTCTTCAAATTATTTTAATTATGAGTACTTGTTTATTTATACTTGTTGAAAATTCTGTATTATACCAAATTAGGGTATATTATAACATATTTAAAATTTTGAATTACGTATTCTTACTACGTAGTTTATCAAATCCTTTTGGTTATTTTTGTAAGATAAAAATATGTGAAATTTTAATTTAAAAAGATTACATGTTAAAATAAATATTTGGGCAAGTAAAATGGAATAATGGATAAAATTTCCCATCTTTTGTTCAAAAAAAAAAGTATAATAGATTACGTCAAACCAAACATGAAATATTTTGACCAAACCATAATAAAATTAGACTAAAGGGTTCGTTTGGCATCATGGTGGTTTTTTGGTTTTTAGTTTTTTGTTTTTCAAAATCATATGATATATATCACATATTGAATAAAAAATTAGTCAATTTTATTAAACTCATGATAATTTTGTAAACTGACAACTGAAAAGTAGAAACACTTTTTTCTTCTTTCTTGTTTTTGTTTGTTTTTTATTTTTTAGAAAAAACTAAAAATCATCAGTCAATACTATATACTAAAGTAATCACCAAGAATATTCTAGAAGTACACATGTCACGTTTACATTAAAAAAATTCCCGCCAAAAACTTTTTATTTTTTATTATTATTTTCCTTAGAAAATAAAAAGATAATTAATAAAAACAAAAAGAATATACAACCTTATTTCCAAAAAAAAAAAAGAATATACAGCCTAAATAATAGAACAATAACAACAAATTTAAATAAATAAAATTTTAAAAATATATACAATTTATAAACAAATACAAACTTATAATACTATTTAATATATAAATATAATTTTTTCCTGTGAACATCCGAGCGTTGCTCAGATAACTAGTTGAAAACATAAAACAATGTCAAACAATTTATATTTATTTAATGTGAAGATTAATTTAATTTAATTTAATTTAATGTGAAGATTAGATTATATTTATCATTTATATGCCTAGCTAAACACCAACCATTTTAGAAAAGAGTAAAACTAAAACAAAGGGCCATTTTAACAATCTTATGAAGAGATCACTGTGTCACCTTTTGATTTATATTAATGCATCTCTTAAGTTTTCACACTTGTCGTGGCACAACTTTGTCCATCAATATGTTTAATGAGATATTAGTAAAATGATAATAAAATTGTAATATGAAAGTAGATTTGTAACAAATCCAATAACATGTTACATGACCATGTAGTAGTAAAAAAATTAGTCAAATGTAACATATAAATAGTGCATAATCTCAAGTAATGAATTTAAAAAAAATAAATTGAGGGAGTAAGAATACATTTTTCTAAAATAAGTGAAGTAAATATATATGTACTTCGTAAATAACACATACTCCGTTGGGCTGAGCGAAACTATTTAATAGGACTGTAATCTTTGGATTGACAAGCTCGGCCCAACCCAAACTAAAGTGCAAGTCTTGAAGATATTGTTCAGTTTGGAGAAGAGTCTAGAACATTGGTGAAAGACCTTTGTTGACTTGATCATCCTTAATCCTCCCAAAATTTACGTAGGTCCATAATCCATCAACGAAACCATTGGTCAATTCAAGAACCTCCCAGAACTCTCTTTTCCTTCTTATATAAATATCTCCACATTCATATTCCTCATTTCAACATCATCAAAAGAATTTCACAAATTCTCTCAAACACTCTAATCAATCATCAATTCACTGTTCAAATCAATCAAAAAAAAAAAAAAAAAAAAAGCAATCAACAATGTAGCTGATTCCAAGCTTCTTGGGAAACCGAAGGAACAACACCTTCGACCCCTTCGCAATGGACCAGTGGGACCCATTCGAGGGCTTTCCCTTCGCCGGAAACCTAAACCAGTCTCTCTCCTCTGGCAGCACCTCCGCCCGCGACACCGCCTCTTTCGTCAACGCCCGAATTGACTGGAAGGAGACACCTGAGGCGCACGTGCTCAAGGCGGATCTTCCTGGAGTGAAGAAGGAGGAGGTGAAGGTTGAGGTGGAAGATGGGAAGGTGATCCAGATCAGCGGAGAGAGAAACAGGGAGAAAGAGGAGAAGAATGACACGTGGCACCGTGTTGAGCGAAGTTCTGGAAAGTTCTTGAGGAGGTTTAGGTTGCCTGAGAATGCGAAGATGGAGGAGATTAAGGCGAATATGGAGAATGGTGTTCTTATTGTTACTGTTCCTAAAGTTGAGGAGAAGAAGCCTCAGCTTAAATCAATTGACATTTCTGGCTGAAATTATCCTCTGTTTTCTATCAAATGGCATATCGTATTATCGTCTGCTTTCGGTTCCTCTAGTTTGATTTAGTGATCTATGTTAATAGTATGAATATATAAATAATAAGTATGTTTATGTATTACTGATGCTTACTATGTAATCTTTAATTTGATCTTAATAAATTTTATTAAATCTTGAGTTAAATTGGATTGTATTGCAATGGAATGACTCTGATGGTTAATTGCTAAATAGGTATTCTGTTTCTGATTAGAGAAGAAAGTGATCAATGTGATGGACATTTTTAATTTTCTTGAAAGCAAGAAATCTGAGGTGTTTTTGGTTGTCATTTAGTCGAGTTCATAAACCAAGTAGTTATGGATTCACTAGAATAATCCATACAATTTGTCATGGATTTGGTTAGAGGTTATGTTGAAGAATTTTAGCTCAATAAAATGATTGGATAAACTTAGGAAAATTGGATCAAATTTGGCTTGCCACTAATGCAAATATGACATAATGAAAGTTAGCCTGTTTAATTACCCTAGCTAATACTTTGTAGTCTGTATCATTTTTGTGATTGATTGACTTAATCAACAAAAGAGTGCAAAAGATAATTATAAATACTACCCCTATTATTATGCATAACAAATCTCATAATGAGATTTATCTACTACATGAATACAATAACAGGGAATACGATTTCACAACTTATGTATAACTCTATAAGGATTCCATTTTAAAAAAGTGTGTCAAGTTTTCAACATAGATCTCTATAGAAAATTAGAGGTACATTATTAAAAAAACAAAACAAAATCAATTGAACATGGACTAATACATAAAACAAAAATAAGATTTGTATCCTACATCTAATCATATGAATGGTATATATTCTACATCTAAATAATTGCCTCATAGGAATGTACAATTTGAAATGCTTGCTACTTAACATATATACATAATAGATAAAAACTAAGAAAATTATCACAAGGTAAAGGAGATTGATGCTCCCTATGTAACTAAAACAACAAGAATTGTGCACTGGTAATGAAACATCCAAAATAATCATGGGGATGCAGAAGTCATGACCTATTAGTTTTATTTGTTTGGTTGGTTTTATTTTATTTTGAGAGAGAAGTCATGGTCTATTAGTTACAAGTAATAATGAAAGCTTGTGTAGTTGTGTATGATTATGTTTGTACTCTGTTAGTCTGTATTGTCCTTGTAGTTCATTCACAAATTAAAACCCGAAAAAAAAAATGAGGACAAATTGGTCATTTTGGCAATAAAACCGCCATAGGGGGAAAACAGGAAACCGAAACAATTTTCCATTTCCCCTCCAAACGAATTTGACAACAACCCTCCTTTTTCTCTCTCCTCTAGTTGCAGTTAGGAAGGTAGGTACGGTTAGAGAGAGAGACCGAAAGCAGAAACACCTAAATTCAATTAAAAAAAAAAAAAAACAGTAAAACTAAAAATGAATGACCAGCCGATGACTACCGAAGACCCTAACGACCTCACCCTCCCTGACGCCGCCGCCGATGCCGCCGACGCCGACGAACTTCCGGCCGCACCATCATCGAGCCGAGTAAGGGGCCCTTGGTCGCCGGAAGAAGACGCCATACTTAGTGAACTTGTTAGCAAATTCGGAGCCCGAAATTGGAGCTTAATCGCCCGTGGAATTCCGGGTCGCTCCGGTAAATCTTGCCGGCTTCGTTGGTGTAATCAGCTTGACCCTTGTGTCAAGCGTAAACCTTTTTCTGGTAATTTGTACTACTTTTTTCCTCTCTCCTTTTTTTTGTTTTTTGAATTTTTGTTTTGTTTATGTTTGCCGCTGGTTGAATTTTGAAAAGGTCTGTTTTGATTGGTTTTGATGATTGTGGGTATTTCTGATTTGTGTGTTGTGTTGTTGATGAATCAATTGGGTTGTGATTTAGTGGTTTGCATTTGATATTTGAATTGTAAAGTATCGTAATTTTCGTATTTTTTTATCTGATTTTTGGTAGAATTTGATGTTAGTTTTCTGTATTTCGTTGTTCTGATCAAAATGTTTTCTTGGGCAGCAATTTTACCAGTTTGTTTGCTAAATTTTACTTCTTTTTTGTGTGTAGTGTTAAACACAGTAGGATGTAATTAAAATTGCTTAATTTTTTTTTAATCAAATGCGGTTTCATTTGTTTGATTTGGGGTGGATTTCTCGGGTGCTTTGAATTTGAGCTGGTTCCATTTAGGTCTGGAGTCGAGTAATGGAGAGATGCTGGGTGTTTCTAGTTTTAATCAATAACTAAAATTCAGCTTGAAGGTTTGTTGAAAAGCTTTTTATAACACATTAGGTTGATTGAGGGCACGAAATTTGCAAATTACACCTAAGCCCCGTTTGGTTTAATGTAAAATATTTTCAATGGAAAATTAGTTTTCATGGAAAACATATTTTCAAGGAAAAACACAATTGCAAATTAGTTTTCCTTTGTTTGGTTGCATACAAGAAAAGTCCAAGAAAAATAAAAAAAATAAGAGTGGAAATGTAAGGATGAATGAGAGGGAAGTAAAAAAAGGAGGTAAGGAAGAGAGGAAAATGTGGCTTCCCTTGTTTTGAGAAGGAAAATGTTTTTCATCATTAAGGATGAAATTTTCCGCCCTTGGAAAAATTGTTTTCCACCCTTAACAAACCAAACAAAGGAAAATGGGAAAAACATAGAAAACTCATTTTCCATGAAAACCTTTTACATCAAACCAAACAGGGCCTTAGTCTGTGATCGTTTCGATGATATGACTAACAGGGCACCATATGATCTAAGGGTGGAATATTGTGGAACATCAAAGTAGGCAACCTGGCATTAGTTATATTTGCTTGAACATATAGTTTGTTTATTTAGCTTTTCAATGCCTTCCCTCGGAAATGCAGGATGTTTTCGTCTTAGGTTTTAACTGATTAGCCTTGTTGACAAGCTTTAGTTGATGCTATAATAAGGTGAAACCCTTCATTATGGTGTTACGGGCTCTTGGTTAACCCAGCGGGGTCATAGGGCTATTACTGATGAAATATTAATATTGCAATAGTTTTTTTTTCTGTTACCACTTTTCTATAGTTTAAAATTTTGTATGATGTGTAGTGTAGCTAAGGTAAATAGAAAATCATTTCAACAAAATTTAAAAGTAAAGGTTTTTTATTTTTCCCCCTTTGTTTGTCGTGTATGTGTGTTGCCTACTTCATCGCCAATGCATTCAAATGAAGTTTATCTCATTGTATTGTTTGGTCTTTGATGAAGAAATAACCATATTAGCTGTAGCGTCAGCCAGTATTGAACTATTGGCCCATATGTTCTGGCATTTTCTTTAAGATTAGGGATTTTTTTAAACAATTAGTTATGTCCTGCATACAATAAAATTTTGCTTGGCTTATGCTGATGTATGATCCCTGTGGTTTATCCTGTCATGGCTTGAATATGCATTTAGAATCTGAGGAGCTACTGTATAAGGACAATGTTCTGGTTTTCTTTGGCTTGTTCTCTTAGTATGTGCTCATTGATATAAATTAGGAATTAAAATTGTTGACATCAGTAATTCAGTAGCCAGTAAGCCAAGATTATTGATAAATATTAGTTTTTTCTAATGCAAATCTCTTGCAAATTTTTGTTTTGTATACAAGTGAGTAGCTGAAGTTTCAGTTTGCTAATGCTTATTGATTGACAGTTGCTAGATTTTATATGTTTGGTTGGGTTGCATCAATTGCATTTTTTCAATTACTAGGATTGGGGATAAAATGTCCTCTTAAAAAAAAGGGATTGGGGGTAAAATGACCACAGATTATAGTATAGTCTTTCTTTTTGTTTGCAATTGGTGTCTAATGCCCAATTCAGTGCCATCCTACAAGTTATGAGCAAACTAGATGTTTGGACTTGATATGTGTTAGTGAAACTCCTTCACAGTCATTCCTATCTTGGTTAGCCACATTTCTGTTTTTGAACAGCTTTTCTACTGAAAAATTTATTATAATTTGTCTGTATTTAATGATTCAATTAGCATGACAACTTAATAACTAACTATCCTATATTTAAGGATATATTCAAGAAAGCATAACAAACTTAGTCAAACTAGCTGAGTATTCAGCTTATTACGACACTAGTAGAGATTTGTTACTTTGCAATACAACGGGCATTATCGTCACAGAAAAATAAAAAAGGAAGGTCTGTTGGCTAAAGAATGCGGGACATACGTACCGGAATCTCACTAACTTCATTTATAAAATAATGATCTTATTTCAAACAATCCTTTTGTGAATGTTTCTGTCTTCCTTCTATGTTCACTTGATTAAGATGCAGTTAGTGGTCTAAGGCATTTTTGAGGGCTTTTGCAGGTCAATAGTGTACATAATTTGACTCATTCTTTGATCAATTGAAATACTCGGTATTGGAGCTCTATATCAGAATACCAGATGGAGTGAAGATATATGAAAGTAGCAAATGTAATGATCGCTAATTAGAATGCTTATTACATAATAGCATTTGAATGCCCTGTTCTAGTGCAGGGTAAGGCCGTATGCTTCCAACTCCCCTTACCTGATCAGGCAGGTATCTCTTTAGTAAGCTTTGGGGTCCTGTACTATTGTTACATGCCGTCATAAATACCTTTGTGTAAGCATGTATCATAGGCATAGAAACAGATGGTTTGCAAATGAACTGTTGTATCGATCACTGCAGCCTGAATTGTGGTCAATGATCTGTTTGCCCATGATATTTGTGTTCGACAGTATTATTTAGTACTCATATATTTCGATGTCTAATTAGAAATATATCACTGCAGAAGAAGAAGACCAGACTATTATTTCAGCACATGCTATTCATGGAAACAAATGGGCCTGCATAGCAAAGCTTCTCCCGGGAAGAACAGATAATGCTATCAAGAACCACTGGAATTCAACTTTGAGACGGAGGTATGATTTTGGGAAATCAGTAGGAGATTCCAGCTTTGACAGAAACAAGGCATCATCCGAAGAAACAGTTTCTGGTGAAACCAATTCATTTAAAGCATATGATGGAAAACATGATGTAAATATGGTTGTTAACCAATGTCCTCACCCCGATTACCAGTCTCCAGTCAATGAGAATCTAAACCAATCCATGCAACCTGAAAACCAACCTTCGATCATGTATGAGAATCCCCCCATTGTAGTTGCATATCCTCCCATGATTGCATATCCTCCCTTTTATGCTCATTATGCTGAACCTATTGAGCACCCTAAACCCTCTCGTCCAGTTGCACGTGTTGGTGCTTTTAATGTTTATCAACCCTCGTCTAATTTAACACCTGCTGCTCCACCTCCCAAGCCTGTGCCTGTGCAGGGTCCTTTGGTAAATGCCTTCCAACCTGACTTTGGAATCTCCAAGTTTCTTGATGGAGTTCAGTGTGAGCCAATTATTCCATTGCGGTGTGGCCATGGATGTTGCTCAACTCCAACTGGTGCAAAAACTCAAAGCTCACTGTTGGGGCCTGAATTTATTGAATATGAAGAGCCTCCTTCCTTTTCAAGCCATGAATTAGCGTCAATAGCCACTGATTTGAACAATATAGCGTGGATCAAAAGTGGGTTGGATAGTGGCTGCACCAGAAGAATGGAGGATCCTACTCAGAGAAGAGATACTCAAGGGACTGACAATTCAGGGCAATGCGCGCAGACCAACAATGTGCGTTTTGAGGAAGGACGGACCAAGCTTATGGGTATGATGACAGAAGTGCTCTCAACTAAGATACCAAGGCAAACAGTCGCACTGCCTGCTGAAGTTGGGGTTTGAGCTGAATACGACGAGTGCTGTTACCTTCTAAGTAGCATTCTCGAGATCATTCTAATGTTTCAGTCATTAAACTCAGGGGTTGGGTTTATTTAGGTTTTGTGAAGTGTCAGATGATTGATATTAGAGATTCACATACTAGCGGAACATCTTACTGGCGAGATTTGTGCAGCGCAAGTGATGAGATCTATAGTCTTTTTGTTATATAGTCATGCTGGTATACAAGGGATGGGATCTATAGTCTTTTTTGTTAATTATAGTCGAGCTTTAGTACCCGAAACATGAATGTTCTTGCACTCATTAGTTATCTGTTGAATTAGCCAGCCAGTTTAAATATGATGGAGTAATTCTAATAGAATATAGTTGTGGATCTGGTACTTCACAGTAGTAAGACTTCTATTTTTAAATTCATAATTACTCTCTGATATACGGCCGTAAATGAAAATGATGCAATATGTGTAAAACCTCGGAGAAAGTGTAAACTAGACATTTTAATATGGGTGGTTCTGAAGTTGGCTCACTTGCTACAAGAGGGTCCATATTTCAGAGTTTGGGTTTGTCGGCAAATTTGGGTACTAACCCATTTCTCTGATCATACAAGGCCCACAACTGAAACGTCCATATCTTACTATCTTGCCTCTTGAACTCTTGAGATCAGATCAAACTGTATTTCTCATTCTTTTTAACGGCAAATTTAAAATAATTTTGTGAAGTATTCTATGTTTGGTGCCTGGTTAAGATTCACTAGTCCACTTTGGCTCTGGTGGTTTCAAGACTGTTGAAACCTCAGGTCAAGGGTTCAAGGACCGGTGAAAGAGAGAATGTGCAAGTGTTCTAAATGAGGTATTACAAAATACCTCACTTTTTTATTTTTTTCAAAGGTCAACAAACTAAAATTCTCAATTTTGACCCTTTTATACAGTACAATAATACACCAACCATATATTAAAGTGATAGATTAGATAGAAAATACATCACAAAATACACTACTTTGATTTAATTTACAAGATTACGTCATTATTAGATTTTAATTTACATTCATGCATATTTGCGATGCTACTATAGCCTCATTTTCACCCAACATTGAGACTAGCTAGCTATATTATAGCTTGAACATATACATACTAAGTAGTAGTACACAACTATTTCACAATACTTACTAGATATTAGTACTACTTAATTTACTCCGTAGTTACAAAAGGTAAAAAACCTACGGTATTTATTAGCCTTACATTTTAACCTTTGTATTAAGTTTGATTAACCAGAGACATCAATAGACTTGAACTCAGGCTGTTTCTCCTGCATCTTAGGCACAGTAACAGTAAGCACACCATGCTCCATATTAGCCTTAATCTCATCCATCTTCACATTCTCCGGCAGCCTAAACCTCCTGATGAAACGTCCAGAGCTACGTTCAAGGCGGTGCCACTTATCGGTCTCCTCTTCACTCTCCCTGTTCCTCTCTCCACTTATCTGTAGCACCTTCCCGTCTTCCACCTCCACCTTCACCTCTTCCTTCTTTAGCCCCGGAAGATCCGCCTTGAACACGTGTGCTTCCGGCGTCTCCCTCCAGTCAATTCGAGTGTTAGCGAACCCTCCTACCGCCTTACCCGAGGCGGTAGAGTTCGTGATCGAAGTGTTGAATGGAAAACCCTCGGTCGGGTCCCATATGTCTAGTGAGAATGGGTCGAATACGTTTGACCTCCGGCCGCTAGAGAAGCTCGGTATTAACGACATTATTTTTTTTACTGTGAAATAATTTTGATGAAAGAGTAGGATGGTTATGTTATGAATCAAGTTAACATAAGGTAGTATGTATATAAAGGGCAATTAAATTCAACTTTATTTCTAGCATAACCTTTTGAGCATGCAATGCAAGATGTATCATTTTTTCCTCTTGACACTTGTATCACATGTGGCAGTACAATATGCAATTGTTTTTGCAATGTACATGACGTGTTGACCAGGCCTTGTCACTTGTAATAACCATGCAATTTTTGTTGGCAACCAAAAAAGTTGCGTGCAATTTGGAGTTTTGGAACTCAAGCTTATCGATTTGGTTAGCTAATTTGTTTGATTGCATATATAAAAACTTAAATTTTTAGTTCTTTTGTTTTGTTTAGGGATGGCAATTTCTGATCCGATCTGATAACCCGGTTTGAAGTTATTGAGAGAAACTCGAACCCGACTCGATTCGAATTCAAACAATATGAATTCGACTTGATTTGACCCAAATTTCATATTTCGTAATAACATTAACTTTTTCTATTTACGATCTGAAATCTGATCCGAACTTAACCTGCAAATCCGAATTATCACCTCTAGTTTCATTTATTTTTAAATTTTTTGATTAATCATATAAAGAAAGTTGAAATTGTAAATAAAAGTCAAGAAAAATGTAACCTCCTAAAATATTTAACATTATAAACTTCTTATATATTTTTGTTTTTTATAATAGACGTATATATTTTTGTTAGCCAAATGTCTTTTTAAGTACTCCACAACATATATTGTGTGTTAATCGAACAATCAATTAACTTTTTATTTCAATGCAATCTTTCTAAAATAGGTGCACAAAGTTAATAGCTAACTAGCTTTATCAAGTAACCAAGTAGGTAAGTTGGTATAATGGTATGGTTTCGAGTCGTTTGTTTTGATGGAAAACATGTGTAATGGAAAATCATTTCTATTGAAAATAATTTTCAATGACCCTTTTAATAAAAGAAAAATACTTCGTAGTTTTCTTCCCTACCTTAACATAGTTACCTCACAACAAATTACCGCACCTTTTAAAATGACATTAGTGTGTGTCCCGGGCGATGCCCCGCCCAAATTGCTAACTTGATAATTATGTTCAAGTGTTGTATAGCTAGCGTGTGATTTGGGCGTTGTTCCGGATGTTACGGTTTTTTTTACTACATATGTATTTATTTTCTAATCTTGTGAAAAATAAATAAATTAAATAAACTCTAATTTAAAAGGAATATATAATGATAAATATGCGAAATTTAAAACACAAATAAAAGTTGGTGGAGATGGTAAGTGTGTAGCACTTATTTGTGTGAGGTTGAGGGTTCGATTCTTAATAAAACATTATGACATGTTGTCATATACGTTGAAGAGTGCCACGTGTTACCTTTCCTTTAAAAGGAACGCCTTTTAATATATAGTATAGATGGGTAAAAAAAAAAAAGAAGGGGTAAATAAGGTATTTGGTGTAACATTTGGTTGGGCCCAGTTGGTAAGTCGCGGGCTCCCCCGACGGCTCGATAAAGAAATTTGGTGAATTTGGAGAAATGTAGTCATATATATTTGTGTATGTTTAAGTTGTCTGATTATAAGTGTTGCTTGTAAGCTATGATCGTTAGTATAGTTTATTGAGAAAAGGGGAGACAAAAAATAAAGGAAAAGAGGAAAAGAAAGACATAGCATATCAGGTGTTTTGTGTGTGTGTAGAGGTGGCCAGTGGGCCGGGTTGGACCCAGCCCACCCTAACTCGCACGGCTGGTGGGTCACGTGGGTCCGACCCGGTTTCAATCCGGCACAGCCCGGCACAGCTCGGATTTAATCCGGGTTGTGTCGTGGGTCCAAAATTTTCGACACAACCCATTTCAACCCAGCTCAGTTTAACCCGTTTGATTCGACCCAAATCGCACAACCCGTTTTGACTCATTTAATTCGACACACCTAGCCCGTGAACCCACCTAACCCGACCCACCTGGCACAACCCAGCCCGCACGGCCCACCCGCACGAATGACCCACCCAACCCGCACGAGCCAACCCACCTAACCCGCACGCATGACCCACCCAACCCGCACGCATGACCCACCCAACCCGCACGGCCGGCACAACCCGCACGGCCCGCACAACCCGCACGGCCCGCACGGCCTAACATCCATTTTTAAAAAAAAACGGCTAGTTTTTTGTATCTAACGGCTAGTTTTTTAAGTGTATGATCATCCATTCTATTTTTCCTATAAATACCAATTTCATTTCACTCAAATTTCCACACAAATTCAAGCTTTCTTTCTCTCTTACTTAAAAATTCTTATTGTTCTCAAATTCTCAAGTGTTATATAGAGTTATATTTTTGTTAAAAAAAATCTCCTTAATATTATTATTAGTATTCTTAAGATTCTAAAAAAAAAAAAGTTCTTCTCCATATTATAATTAGTAATCATACAAAAAAAAAATGAGCTCAAGAGGAGGAATGGGAAGGAGTCAAAGTGGTGGTCGAAGTGGTAGCCAAAGGAGTGGTGGTGCAAATTTTTCGTATGAAATTAATACGGAAAATTTAAACCAATTTGTCAATGAATATGGAGATTATGGTTTAGGAGATAGGCAAAATATTCAAACGTCTCCACCACAACATTTCTCCCACGAGTCCCACCAATCATCAAGTTCAACTATGCCACCTCCATCGCAACCAACATCTCAACCTTCATCTCAAGGTAATTTCTAATTAAATTTTTATTGTTATGAATATTTAAAAAAACTATTATTAATGATTATAAAGTTAGTTTAGTTTCCAATTTTCTATGATTTACAATTAGTTAATTACCATGAAAAATGCGTTTAAATAAGTATAATTAAAATATTTAAAATTTAAAAGCTTATTTTCATGAATAGCATTTAAAAATTAATTTTAAAAATTTGATTTATGAAAGGTGGTGGCGGTGAAAGTAGAGGTCGAGCACATTTTTCTTGGGTGTGGAAACATTTTGAACGAGTTGAGGTCACACCCCCGGGATGGCAACCTGGTCAACCAAAGAGGTTCACGTGTACATGCCTAGTTTGCAAGGCGCTAGGTGCAAATGTCAAGTCATATAATTGGAAAACGGGAGATGGAACCGGAACCTTGAGTCGGCATTTGCAAAATAAACACGACTTGTTCGAAAATGGCCCCCGTCCTTCGGGGGTGGCGTCCAAACACAATTGGGTGGATACATGAACCAACCCGGCGGAGGTACACCTTTCATTTATAATAAAGATAGAATGATTGATGAAATGAGTACTTTAGTTATTGCTAATGAATACCCTTTTAGTTACGGTGAAAATGCAAACGTTGAGCATTTTAATAAAGTTGCATTACAACCTGCATTTACTCGTGTCCCCCGAAATACCCTAAGACGTTATACACAAACTTCTTATTATAAGTATAGGAGTGGTTTGATTGAATTGTTTCGTACTTTTGATGGTCGTGTTAGTTTTACAAGTGATACATGGACTTCTAGTTTTGGCGAACCTTTTCTTTGCATTACTGCTCATTGGGTGGATGATGATTGGTTTATTCAAAAACGTATACTATGTTTTCAAGCTATGGAAGAAAGGCATACCGGTTTTAACATCAAAGTTCGTATTTTGGATTGTTTAAAAGAATTTCACTTGAATAATAAAGTTTTTTCTTTGTCTCTTGATAATGCAACTGCAAACACAAAGTGTATTGACTATTTGAAAAATGACTCCGAGTTGAATTTGTTGTTGGGTGGTAGTCTCTTGCATGTTAGATGTTGTGCTCATATTTTGAATTTGTCTGTTCAAGAGGGTCTCGCTGAGTTGCAACCATTGCTAAACCCAATTAGAACAGTTATAAAATGGATTAGGATTACTCAGTCAGTTAGAAGAAAGTACATAGCTATGTGTAAAGAGAGAGGTCTTAAGAAAAGACAATGGTCTATTGATACCCCTACCCGTTGGAATTCTACTTTCAAGTTGTTGAGTGATGCTATAAAGTATCGTGATATTTTGACCCAACTTTACAATGAGACTCGTGTTGATCCTACTGAGTTAATAACCGAAAGTCATTGGACTAATGCTTCTTTTGTTCGTGATGTTTTAAATGCTTTTGATAGTGCAACTCATATTTTCTCTTATATTTATGAGCCTAACGTTCATTTAGTCATAATTGAGTGTGTTAAAGTTGTTCACACCATCGAAGAGCATATGAAGATTGATGGACTTCGTCCCGTTCTAGATAGCATGAAACGTAAGTGGCATACTTATTTTAGTGAATTTCCAATCATTTATGGAATTGCTGCTATTCTTGACCCCGGTGTCAAAGCTGAAGGTTTGGAAAATCTTTTAGAATTTTATTATACAAGTTTAAGTATCGATTATGATGTTAGTGAATATATTAACAAATGCAAATCTGTTTTGGGAGACCTTTATGATCATTATGCATCTATTTATGGTTTTGATTTGGCAACACCAACTACTACTAGCACTTTGGTTTTCTTGATAAAGTTATGAAAAAAAAACACAAAGCATCTACATCATTCTCATCATCATCTTCTTCAACACTTGCTATTAATGATTATTTGTCATATCAACATGAGACCAACAACAACTTTCAAATTATAAAATGGTGGCAAGAACATAAAAAAAGTTTTCCTATATTGGCGAGAATTGCAAAAGATATACTTGCAGTTCCCGCTTCATCTGTTGCTTCCGAGTCTGCTTTTAGTGCAGGTAGAAGAGTGTTAGATGAAAAAAGATCTCGCTTAACTCCGGAAAGCATTCAAATTTGTGTTTGTAAGAAAGATTGGGATCAAGCTGAAAGAAGAACTCAAGGTTTAAAGGAAGACGAAGACGATGAAGATGATCCTGTGATGATATTGGAGTCGTCAACGGATGATGCAGCTTCCGGGGATGATGATGCAACAAACATGGGTGGCTAGAAAAGTCTAAATCAGGTACGCTAAGAACTACGTGGGCTTTGATTCTTTCGGGATACGTAGGCAACTTATTTTTCGAAAATTACAATTTAATTGCAAAATTAAATTTTAGTTTTCTAAAGATAGGTCCAAGCCCCCCCCCCCAAATTTCAAAAGAAGTACAATATAAGAACTACGCTGGCTTTGATTCCTTATTTTATAATATAAGGATACGTAGGCATCTTAATTAAGAGCAAGCCATCAAATTGTTAATTTTGTAAAAATTAAAACACCACACAACCCACCCGACCCTAACCCACGAACCCACCCGACCCTAACCCACAAACCCACCCGACCCTAACTCACCTAACCCACAAACCCACCCGACCCTAACCCACTAACCCACCCGACCCTAACCCACCTAACCCACAAACCCACCCGACCCTAACCCACTAACCCACCCTTCGACCCACCCTAACTCACTAACCCACCTTGACCCGTCTAACCCACGAACCTAGCTCGACCCACCCATGACCCGTCTAACCCACAAACCCAGCTCGACCCACCCACGATCCGTCTAACCCACAAACCCAGCTCGACCCACCCACGACTCGTCTAACCCACGAACCTAACCCTGGTGTGTCCAACTTCTCCGACCCAACCCACGACCCGGCCCACCCTACCCTACGTGTGTCGTGCCGTGTGTCATGAAACCCCAACCCGCGACCCACCTAACCCTAACCCAGCTCGCACGACTCGCACGGTGGACACCTCTATGTGTGTGCATGAACAAATGTACTAATTTAATAATGATGCAGATTTGTGGACCAAAGACTAATTTCAGGGAACCAATGATAGCAAGGGATGAAAAATGTTGTTAGGTTAATTGCCAGAACTTTGGTGTCAAGTTTATTGTATCTTTTTATGCTTTAGTTTGCTGTTTATTATTTGACAAAAAATAAAGGAAAAGAGGAATTCTGGCATTGTGCAGATCGGTTATTATCTTTCATTATGATGTAAGAGGAATTCTAGTTTACATTGTCTTTATCTGTTTTAAGTGCAAAACTATGAATACAGATTCATAAGCAGGATGATATTAGGATAAAACTTGTTCGTGCAGGAGTAAAGTATTAAGTTTGTGATGAGAATGGTAATGAAGTAATTTGTTTCAGTGTTTTAGTGGTTTAGAGTTTCATTGTTCTATGAAGCTGAATATGCAAGGTAAGGGAACTTACTGTCAGAAAGATATCACAAATGAGTAGATTTGGAAATGTAAACTGCAACATTCTGCTGTTTGTTGTTTCACTCGAAAGAAGTGGAAGTTAAAATGCACAATGGTTATAAGAAAGGAAGACTAAAAGGAACATAAAAAATAGGAGCATTATTTTAATTAAGGTAGAAATGTTGTTGAAAAATGTAATAAACACTGCTATATAGGATAGCAAAACACATAACTATGAAACTAAAGGTGAAGGTGGGAAATTATAACAACTTAATTCATATTATATATATAGGCATCCTGATTTAAGGATGCAAATAGATACATCATAGTGACCTGATGGTTCTTTCAATTTCTGACTGCTAGCATTACTATGTACAAGCAAAATACTACAGTTCTGCTAAGAGGAAGTGTCTAAGACAGTGCTGCTACTAAACATCAGTAGTACCTACATATCCTTAGTACTATATACATAGTTGATGTTTATAGGGAACACAAGATGTCCAAAATGTTCCTTTTAAACATGCACAAGCTACTTCAAATTTAATAAACTTTCACATCATAGTTCCTGATTCCCACTAATACCTTAATAGCAAAAGATGATAACTGCATATATATATTCTAGGTAGCCTTCATTCGGGAATTGCCTTGTTGCTTCTGGATTATTCTTTGCTCTCTGAACCTTCTTTCTCAGCAGTGTCCTTAAAAAGTGCTGTACATAATTAGCAATGCAATCAGCGGACCTGTATCTGAAAGCAACACAGTACCAACCTAACAGAATGACCTGTGCTCTGAAGTATAGTTCCTAGTTCTGCATTTTTTTCAGCTAAGCAACTTTTTATCACAGTCTAACCCCTGTAAGTGTGTGAAATCATATCCTAATTTCATTAATATTTATTTAGGTATATACGCAACCCTGCCATTTTGAGCAATATTATCCGTTCACAACCTTAATACATGAATTCTCCTTAGTTCTTTTCTTAAATATTATTATCATTACAGCAATTTATGATACAATGCACCAAATTTAAGAAATAATTAAATCTAGCAACTCTAAAAAAGCTAAGCTATAAAAAATTACACTACACTGCACAAGCTGCTAAATGCACCAAACAATAATGCTAAAAACACATATAAGAACACAATTCCAGATAGCTAAGCGACATCATGAACTCATAAAGCCCGGTAAGAAGTATATACAAAAAAAAGTACATGCCAGAAACAAAAGAGATACCTTCACAGATCTCCTAACCCCAACAGAACAAGCAACTCTGCAACAGCAGACCCACAAGCAATGCAATCAGCAAGCCTGTAACCCGGAAAAAACACAAATTTAAACCGGGGACAAATAAACTCCAAAAACAGTGGAAATAGAAGCTGTTCTCTTAAAATACAATTAGGCAAAGCATACAGCTAATATGTAACAGATCAATTTAGAACAAATAATCAATAAGCTCTTGGAATCTATACGCCATAATCAAAGCAGAGGCAAAACAGCTATCACCCACACAAACAATCTAGATCAAATTACGGGTAAACTGTCTAAATTTATTAATAATAATTTCATAAATTCAAAGTCCTATTTGTCAGGGATTCAAAATTTGTAGTCCAAATTACATCTGCGAGATCATAAAGAAACCAAAATGTAATGAAACCACCTCTCAAAAGAATACCTATGCACAGGCAACTCAGATAGCTCAAAGGCAAAGAGAATTTGTATTGAGCACAAATAAACCACCACATCCAAAAACAAACCCACCCCTCAGGCTATATATAGGCCACGGCAAATGCAAGCACAGCGAAGTCATCCCTTAGTCTTCTAAAACTATAATTTTTTAATTTTTCAGGAAAAGGACACTGGAGTAGAGCCCAAGTAAGGCAGTCCAAACCAAAAACCATACATCACCGACTATAACCTCCTAATCCTTAATTCAGAAACAAAAAACCAAACCTAAAACAGAACATAATACAATAACCCAAGCCTACCAATCAAAGGCACGGCAACAAGCTAACCAAGAAAAACATACCAGCCATTCCTGCACAGGCAGCCGGACGAAAGCAGCCTACTCCCGCACCTGAGCATCCCAACCGCAAACTCCCAAAACAAGAGCGATACAAACCAAAGCAAAGGCTAAATCAACACAAAAGCAAGTCAGAACCAACTCTGGTAAGGAAAAGCAACAACAACAGCTGTCATTGGAATCAGCTGTCAGTTCCTTGAATTCAAGGGCACCTCTGTAATAACACCAGCAGGAACTATTCATAAGCTACAGTTAAAATTTTGCATTTTTATAAGGTTTAAGGATTCCTTTATTTAAAGAATATAGGTACGACAACTATTTTAGAGAATTTTGTTTGTATTCTTAACTTAAAAGTATTTGATAGTAATACGGAATATGTACATAAATGCATGTAGCAAGATTGATAATCAACAGTAAACTTTTGTTGTGCGACAGCGGAAGCAAAGGTCGTAAACAAACAAGAAAACAATAAAGAAATTCAATGCAAACAATAAGAACAACACCAAGAATTTACGTGGTTCACTATCGATGTGATAGCTACGTCCACGGGCACCGAGATCGAATGATTTCACTATAAACTGCAAAGATTACAAAGATGATTCTTGTATTTCTCAAGAACGGCTTTCACTCTGTCTCTCTTCACCCTAATACTGATATTAGGGAGGTTTTATATTAATCCCTAATTAAAAGATACTTGGGCAAAAAGATAATAAAATAAGATAACCTAAAACCGCAAAATCCGCGTTCCGTATTTTTCCTTCTCCGCCCGGTCAGACCGGGCAAGGTCTGCCCGATCGGGCGCGAGAAGAAGACTCCATACGAATGCTTCAACGTATCCAACCCCCACCGCCCGGTCAGACCGGGCAAGGTCTGCCCGATCGGGCGAAGGCTCGCCCGGTCGGGCGAAGGCTCGCCCGGTCGGGCGAAGGCTCGCCCGGTCGGGCGAAGGCTCGCCCGGTCGGGCGCGAGAGCAGCTTCTTCAACGAATTTGCCAGGCACCTCTTCTTCTTCCGCCCGGTCAGACCGGGCAATGTCCGCCCGATCGGGCGGACAAAGCTACGAAGTACGAGTCACCTAATATACTTATCAACAATCTCCACCTTGACGAGAACTCGTAGTCAGCAAACGACCCCATCAAGACATAGTGAAAAAACATCTCAAGCCAAACCCGATGCAGGACTCATGCATAAGCCATACATCCCGATAAGTCTTCAACCAAGACCCATCACATACTCGTCTCCAAGTATAACAACTCATAATGCTCCACCTGCATCACAAGCCCCGGGCAAGCTCCACCTTAATGCCAACACACCTACACCAGGAGCTCCCCAACTTCGCCCCTCAGGGCCTACTACATCACGTAGTAATCAATATTTAGCAAGTCTAAGCAATGTTTAAACTTGCTAAACGGAACAGGCTTAGTGAAGAAATCAGCCGGGTTGTCAGCAGTCCCAATCTTCTTCACCTTAATCCTCTTGTCAGTACGTAAGAAATGATACCTGACATCAATGTGCTTCGTCCGATCATGGTGTACTTGATCTTTAGCTAAGCAAATCGCACTTAGACTATCACAATACACTGTAGCAAAATCCTGTGCAATACCCAGTTCACCTACTAGGCCTTTGAGCCGAATAGACTCCTTAGCTGCAGAAGTTAGAGCCATATACTCAGCTTCAGTAGTTGACAACGTAACTGATGACTGCAATGTAGACTTCCAACTAACCACAGAACCACCCAAAGTGAACACATAACCAGTCACAGACCTCCTGGTATCCACATCAGCTGCATAATCAGAATCACTGTACCCAGTGACCAAGCATTCCTTACCATTCCCGTACACAAGACCAATATCAGCTGTCCCTCTCAGGTAGCGAAAAATCCTTTTCACCCCTTGCCAGTGTTCCCTCCCAGGTCGAGCCATAAACCTGCTTACAACACTAACAGCATGCGCAATATCCGGCCTAGTACAGACCATAGCATACATCAAACAACCAACCGCGTTTGCATATGGAACTCTAGACATATAAGACAACTCCTCCTCTGATTGAGGTGACATAGACAAAGACAACTTACAACTAACAGTAGTTGGCGTACTTATAGGCTTCGATTTTTCCATCCCAAAACGAGACAAAATCTTTTCAATGTAGCTTTTCTGAGTCAAGAAAAGCTTACCTCTAGCCCGATCCCTGTAGATCTCCATACCCAAAATCTTCCTAGCTGCACCCAAGTCTTTCATGTCAAACTCCGAGTTAAGCATCTCCTTTAATCTAGCAATATCAGATTTATTCTTTGTGGCAACCAACATGTCATCAACATATAACAAAAGATAAATCATGGAACCATTATCCAGCTTACTATGATACACACAGCAATCATATGAATTCCTGTCAAAACCTTGTGAAACCATAAAAGAATCAAACCTTTTGTACCACTGTCGGGGGGATTGCTTAAGTCCATACAATGACTTTAGCAATCTGCAGGCATAGTGTTCCTTTCCAGGAGCTTCGAATCCTTCGGGCTGCTTCATCAGAATCTCCTCCTCCAAATCGCCATGAAGGAAGGCCGTTTTAACATCCAACTGCTCCAGCTCAAGATCAAAATGTGCTACAATTGACAATAACACACGGATAGAAGTATGTCGAACCACAGGTGAGAATATCTCAACAAAGTCAACCCCTTCTACCTGACTGAACCCCTTAGCAACTAGCCTAGCCTTAAAACGTATTTGCTCAGTTTCCGACAACCCTTCTTTCTTCTTGTAAATCCATTTACAACCCACAAGCTTCCTCCCTTCCGGTACCTTTACCAGTTCCCACACTCTGTTCTTGTAAAGGGACTGCATCTCTTCACCCATTGCGGCAAGCCATTGCGCAGACTCACTACAACTAATTGCTTGTTTATATGTGGCAGGTTCAAATGACTCTACATCATCAGCTACACTCAATGCATAACCTGTCATCGCATCAACACAGCAATTTCTTCCCTCCATCTCTTCAATCAATCTAACAGGCTTCTTGATAACTCGTTTAGGCATCTCAAGAATGGTGTCAGGTTGACTAGATGACCCCTGATTAGATTGCTCCACCTCATCCCCAGAGTTAGAATGAGTAGGAGTAATCTCAGGTTCAGGAGTACCCGGCACTGGAACATCAGCATCATCATCAATATATTGTACCCGAGGTAAATCAGCAATGGTAGACTGATGTACCTCAAGTACCCCATCTGTCTGTAATAAATTGTCTCCTTCCCTTCTCAAATCTGAAATCTCTGCATTTTTAATTGAATACATGGTGTTTTCATCGAAAGTAACATCCCTACTAAGAATGACCCGACCCTCCGAAGGTGAAAAAATTCTAAACCCCTTCACACCATCCCCGTACCCAACAAAACACCCCTTCTTGGCTCGTGGATCCAGCTTACCCTCAATAACATGATAATAAGCAACACAACCAAAAATCTTCAAATTCGAAAAATTAGGCAACTTACCACTCCAGATCTCAAACGGAATCTTGGAATCAATTCCAGAATGAGGACCCCTATTAATGACATAACAAGCTGTTAACACAGCTTCACTCCAGTACCTCCTCCCAAGCCCTGCATTGGAGAGCATGCATCGGACTCTCTCTAGCAGTGTCTGATTAACCCGTTCTGCTACACCGTTCTGCTGTGGTGTCTTCCTGACAGTATGATGCCGACCTATACCCTCATCTGCACAGAACTGATTAAACTCGTCTTTGCAAAACTCTAGCCCATTGTCCGTTCGTAGCTTCTTGATCTTCCTTCCTTGTCGATTTTCCACCAAAGCTTTCCATTGCTTGAAAACTTTGAAGGCCTCATCCTTTGACTTAAGCAACCTAAGCCATGTGTATCGGGACTTGTCATCAACAAATGACACAAAATAGTGGTAACCTCCCATACCTTCAACTCTAGATGGACCCCAGCAATCTGAATGGATGTAATCGAGCACTGCATCAGTAATGTGAGCACCCTTGCTGAACTTTGACCTGTGTTTCTTACCAAACACACAATGCTCACAAAATTCAAGGTTGGCAACCTTGACCCCGGATAGAAGACCCCTCTTGGACAATAGCTGCATCCCCTTCTCCCCCATATGACCAAGCCTCATGTGCCAAATCTTAGTCATCTCCTGGTGAGATACAGATGCGCAAACCGCAGAACTAGGCAGTGTAACACCCTCAAAAACATAGAGGGTGTTCCTTTTGATACCCTTAAGTACCAACTCAGAACCTCTGAAAATACACAACTCCCCATCTGAAAACACACCATTGTACCCCAATTCATCCAGGGTACCCAATGAAATCAGATTCTTTCCTAAAGCAGGAACATGCCGTACATTAGTCAAAGTTAACCTCCGCCCATCAACAGTCCTCAACCTCATGGAACCAATACCTGTGACCTTACATGGAGCATTGTTACCGACTATAACCATACCCCCATTGCGAGGTTCATATGTATCAAACCAATCTCGACGTGGACACATATGGAACGAACACCCCGAATCTAGAACCCAGTTATCAGATAAATCATCAGACCTAGCAGAACTGACTAATGCTAAATCTTCCTCTGAATTATAGCTCTCATTCGGTTTCTCTTCAACTACAGCAGTCTGGGACTTGTTTTTCCTCACCGGACAATTATTCCTAAAGTGACCCGGTTCTTTACAGTAATAACATGTTTTAGTAGTAGTTTTACTAGATCCATCCTTGCCGTTTCCAGCACCCGACCCAGCATTGTTCCCCTTGTTAAACCCCTTATTCTTTTTAGACTTTCCGGACTTAACAAATAACCCACTACCATTATCCCCATTATCACTCGTAGCTTTCATTCTGAGTTCCCTAGTATGAAGTGCTGCCTTCACTTCTTCTAAGGTTATAGAATCCTTACCAACAACAAAAGACTCTACAAAATTCTCAAAGCTAGACGGTAGAGATACAAGTAAAATCAACGCAGCATCCTCATCATCAATTTTAACATCTAAATTACGTAAATCAAGCAAAATAGAGTTAAGTTTTTCTAGATGTTCCCGTAAGGAAGTACCTGACTGCATCCGGAGGCTAAACAACCGCTGTTTCAGTAATAATTTGTTGGTCAACGACTTAGTCATATACAATGACTCCAGCTTCAGCCACAATCCAGCCGCCGTTTCCTGATCAGCAACCTCCGTGATGATTTGATCATCAAGACTAAGTAATATGGTAGAGTGTGCCTTCTCTTCCATAACTTCTAACTGCGAGTCAGTCGGTCCGTCTCCTGACTCCGAAGTAGTACTCTTTGGAGCCAACGGACGCCATATCTGCTGTTGTTTTAACAGAGCCTTCATCTTAATTTGCCATAGCCCGAAACTATTTTTCCCGGTA